CTTGGTCATATTGGTAGGAAGACTTAGAGAAACGCACCTAGTCTGGAGTCCATTGTATGCATGATCATTTCAAGAGTAGGACCGTGGATGTAGTACATTCCCAGATGTTTCGCCAACATCGTCAGTGAGTCTTGCCATTCTTAGCACCACACAACATCTCGTCAAAGAGACAAGTCTCTGTTGCGAAAACAAGGTCAAACAACCTCTATACAACGAAAGGAGACGGCCACACAAAATTCCACACCATCTTGGTCTTCATACATTCGATTAAAAGACAAAGCCTCTTGATGGATAATCGCAGAGATTAATCAAGATTATTCACTTAAACTTCTTGTTCGTAAATCATTTTTTTATATGAAAACAAACAAGTAGTAAATATTTTAGCAAATAAATGAAGGCTTTTTAAGTAAAAGCTAAATGTATTCTAGAAATTACCTGAAAAATGATGAACAAACTATTTTATATGTTCCCCACTTACAACACTAATAGGCTGAATGCTTGTAAATATTAACTTAGATACTCTAGGTCATTTAAAGTGATTTAAAGACTGATAGTAGATTTTTTCCTTCAATTATATGCTTCACCATTCCATTGATTTTCACTTAGACTTGTATATAGGATGAACTGCCATTTCACCTTAACTGGGTCTTATAAGAATCCTAAACTGGATTATAAACTGGATAATACTTATAAAATATGATGAATATTGCTTTTTCTGGCAAGCAAATACAATTAGCATAAAGTTAAAGGCAAATAGAGAGTAAGAATTGAGTGCAAATCTGTAAATTCTTATAAACCAATTATTGATCTTCAATATATTAAGCAATCAGCTGCTCCATTCGTAAATATTTGTAATGTGAAAACATTCGTCTTATAGTATAGGCTGTATTCAGTTTATTTCATACATCAATGGTAGATCACACTCAATTGTTATCTTTCACAGAAAATAACAAAGGTTACGATGACGCAACTGAAGTAAGAATAAGTAAAATGCCTCTATGACTTTAAATTTAATAGAAAATAGAGGGGCCTTAAGCAAGACTAAAATATTTTCAATAATATTTCGTGTATCTATTCGAAAAGTAGTCGAATCAACATTGAAGTCTTTCCATACTCTAATATCTTAGTACACTATTCCCTATTGTATCTAGGTTAAATTGATTTTTTACTTGTAGATTCTACTTTGTAGATAAGTTAGAATTTTTTGTTTCATGAATCACTTGGATATGTAGGCTGGACAGTGTGGAGATTAGTGAAATCCCTTATTTATGCAAAATTTCACATGAAAAACGAATATTTTGTATCTTGCAATAACTTATTTACTGTATATCAGAGTGATAATATTAATTAAATTTGGGAATTCAATAAATTTTGGATCAAAACCAAGCCTATTTATTCATTTAATTACATTTATGTGAGTCAGCCAATAAATTATTATAAAGACTTTGCCATATGCGATTTTTCACAGGTTAATACCCTTTTACTCTAACTTCAGACTATTTTATGCCAAATTAAATTTTAAAAATAGAAAACATTTGGCTTTATTAAATATATTTAGTCATTTATTAGGTTAATTTTTCCAACAATGGTTGGTAATGAGCTTTCAAACATGGAGAATTAGATCAAGGCATAGCCTAAGTGTTTCAATGCTTGTAGATAAATATCAGACAGGGGGGCTGATTGATGCTTATTGAGCTAGATTTAGCAAGTTTATTCAAGGTCTGATTTATTTCGTACTATAAGCTCATTGTGAAGATGCGTATTAATTAAAGAAGCTCAGAAATATGTATCATCCTCTAGGATGAACCACTTTAGATACAAGTATCGCTTGTACTCTAGCTAGAAAGAGATATAAGCCGACTTAACTAGGTATAAATTAAAATTAGCATTCATTCAGATTCTCTGTAAATTTTGCAGAAATATACTCTTTAAGCAGTTCCTAGCAAAGTATGATTGAGTTATGGAAACTTGAGTCAGAAAAAATGAACACTTTTATTAAAAATTGGAACTCTACGCTCTTGCCAGGTGAAAATCAAAGCCAGTAAAATACGTCTCCAATAACTTTAGGAAGATTTATCATGACATTAGATGCAACTAAGCAAATTATAAAAATGTAGACATATAAGGCATATTTTTAAGTAATTATATCAGCTTTATCTTAACGAATTAATAAGTCAAATATATAAATTGTATCGATAAAAATCACTCATCCAGGCTATCCGAGTAGATGGCGATCGGCTTAAACTAATTGTATTATTGAATTCACTTAGCAAAATATTGTTGCTTGGTAGAAGTTTTAGTGCAACTGAGTGAATATTTATTTAAACATTGAATATAGTAACTTACCTGCTCTCCTGGTAATCCTGTACAATTACATTCTGTACATGACGCTTGTGGGCAAGTCTGATTTCCACAATTTTTCCGCATCAAGTCATCCAATTCACCACCCGTTGATTGGAAGAAATGAGAGCACAATAAGAAAAAACAAATTAGGCCTCTTGAAAACAGGTCGAATTGTATAAACAATGGAGTCATAAACAGATAAACGAATGAGTATATAATTAAGCCTATAAGAGAATATCTTGTAGCTCCTTTTAAAGCAATCTCAATGACTCGTTAAAGGACGTACACATATATACTTATTTAGGATACACTTATATGTCATTATTGAGCCCAATCTTGCCTAGGAAAGGGAAACTAACGAATGATGCCTCAATATTAGAACAACTTCTGTCGCGTAAATTGGTTAAGACTGTTTCAAAGTTAAAAGAAGTGCTATTTCCTTGGGTTTTTTCAAGGCTACTTTTATAGAAGCGGGTTTACCTCGTTGTCCTAACTTGGTCTTGTTGTCATGGAGACTCAGTAGAACGCACCTAGTCCGAAGTCGTCTGCCATAATAGTTGCCATGATTCCCAGCATCAAAGAATACCTTTGGGCTAAAATATCAACCGCTAGTTCCCTCATCACCTTAAACGAAATAGAAGGAATACAAGATATAAGGACCAAGATGTAGCAAGTCCACTGTCTGATGCTGGGAATCATGACAACTACTATGACAGATGACTTTTGAATAGGTGCCTTATATTAAGTCGCACCTGACAATAAGACCAAGTTGCGACA